GTTTCTTCCGGGTAAGTTGCTAACTCGGGAAAGTGAGAAGCTAGAAGACTGGAATTTTGAAGGGATTTTTCCTTACAGTCTTGGTGGCCAGTCTGAAATTCTTTTAGCTAGAAGCGTCTGCCAGAAAATCAGTGCCGTTGACAAAAATCTGCTGGGAGCTATGCAAAAAGCGCATCTTCGCGCAGGCAGCCCGTGCGTTGGCCAGTTATTTTTCAGTGGAAAGGCTCTACATGGGGTTCTCTCCTGAGCCATGAAAGTACGGGCAGTTGGCCTGAGTGGCAAGCACTTTGCGATTACGATAGTCGTACGTTGGTAAAATTTTTTTAGTAATTCTAATTTCCGAAAGTTGCTTTAGCAAAAAGCTGAAAGAGGTTGACTCATATTCATAAAAGGCATATCATTATCATTTTACCGTTAAAACGAGTTAGAGAGTTGCATTTTGCGTTGGCACATCGAAATCTCAGGCATTAGCATCGAGTTCACACATCATTTTCAGTTTTTCCGGCGTTGAATAATTTAATCTTCTAAAATTAGCAATTCATTCGAAGCTTTTGGAAATAAGCTGTAAGATTGTTTTTTTTTAGTTCAGCGGCCTCATCATCTAGTTCCACGGATGGTCTGGTGATTACGGGACAGCATGCTACCGCTACTGCCATGGCAGCTGCGGCTGCTATAACAAATCAGCAGAAGAAGGAGCGGGGCCAGTTTGTGTGCAAATTGGCCGAAAACTTCAATGGTGTTTTTGACAGTCATTCCAGGTGCGTTTTATCTCAACCCCTCTCCGATTATATCTTCATTTTTCAAGTTCAAATAATAATTGGAATCGTACAGCACGAAATCACCAGCGCAACATCCTCGTGTTAGATGTAGCTACAGTAGGTATATGTGGCCGCCTGTGCTTACGGTAAGTCAAAAGTCAAAACTCCTTCTCTCCCTCTTTCTTCCCGCTCCTCCTCCCCCTCCCCGTATTCACTTCTTGTGAAGGATGGAGGCAAATGGAATTAACTCAAGTGATTGCGAATGTGAGCAGCAGCCATCGCTGCTAAGACTGTCGATGATTCCCTCAGCTGAGAGCTTCCGTCCGATTTGACTCCTTCATAACCGGTTTACTACCAAAATGAAGAAGGGTTAGTTGTTCCAGTGCAACTTGGTGCCCTTGACCATCAATGCGAAAGCACGATTTTTTCCACTTCCCCACTTTTTCACGTAAAAGTAATTATTCCCTTACATTTTTTGTTAAAAAAAATGAAAAACGCTTATTATGAATGCTACAAATGACAAATTGTATTTGTTTTGTATTGTTTCATAACATATGACCGTAATTTTTTTGTATTGCTTCAAGACATTAAATGTGGCTGCGGATTTCAGACTGTACCACATCAATGCTGAAAGGAACCAAGTGTGGAAGCAAATTACGGATACGGCCAATGAGAAATTTGGGGCCGAATTGGGCGATCTAACAATTGAGCAAACAAAGAAACTGTACGCGAACTATAGGCGAAAGTCGCAGGCGCCTTCATTTGGAAGTGCCACAAGCACTGGCGAGATGCTGCGATCCGAAACAAATAGCATCAATGGATCTGCTGCGTCAGAGTGCGTTTGAATAAGTTCACATATCATAAGTTTTTGCACCAGCAACACTAAGATCACCTGGACAATCGCTGTGATGATCCTGTTTCAAAGCCTTTTGCATACTCTAAGTTAACCATGCTAGGAAGTCAAAATCGCCGTTATCTTGCTTGTAAGCAACCCTTGGAAGAATGAGCCATTGACAGCGTTGCCAGCGAGTGATTTATGCTTGGCATGTGACAACGCTCGGGATACTTCTGAGGGTTTTCATCTCTTATACAGAATGAATTCGGGAAGGGCGAAAGCGAGGGAAGGGGAGAATAGGTTTGACTTTCAAGAAAACGAGTATAACTAATTATTCAGAATGTGTTCAAAACTAATAACGTTTAATACTTATCTTCGGTTTACTAAATGTATTTTTTGGAAGTAATCATAATTTTGTCTTATAGCTTTGTGAATAGATCTGTTTTTAGCTTAGTTCTGGATGCAGCGTCTACCAGTCCCGATTTACTGAATCGTCTAGTGGCGCAAGCAAATGGCGGAAATGGTTCGTCCAGTGTTGGCCATACTCGAACCGTTTCACCACATCTACCACGTCTTACATCCAGGGACCGTAAAACACACGGTGAAACTACCAAAAATGGTCGGTTGCTCTGTCTTTAATGTTTAGCAATTTTGTTTTGCGTGCAAAAGCGGAAATTCTCTAGATTCTCATCCATGACATTGAGCAAGCTATAACGAGCCAGTTCATGGCTCTCCGAGTAAGCAAGCAATTAGGAATCGAATGGAAGTGGTACTGGAACAGAGGCGAACAGTCCAGGATCTAGGCTGAGGCGGGAAGCACAGAGGAAGGGAGAAAGGGAAGCGGACAGCATAGCTATTGCACTCGTTTTTTGGGGCGAGAAGGGAATATTCATTTGTAAATTAGACTGTATTGTTAATAGGTAGTTTTATCTTTTAGAATAACAAATTACCAACTTCCTTTGCACCCTGAATTGTGGTGCCATATTTTTAGAATTGTGAGGAACTTTGTTCTTCAGGATTTGCGAATCACGTAGTCACTGGTCAGCGTTTGCCGGCAAATCCTAGCCTGTCGACAGTCGAACTGCTGGCTATTATTGCTGATCGCGATGCTGAAATTAAGCAACTCAAAAATATTGTTCTGCAGGTTGGTGACCTTGCTTCCGTTCACTTACATTTCCTGCAGTTTTAATTCATCTATGTGAAAGTTTCTTCACTAAAAAATTGACCTTTGAATTAAAATTTTGCTGTAGGCTAATGCCCTCAAAATATTTCGCACATCACAGGATCTTACATATCTGTTTTTGGTGTGTGCGTGTGTTTGCATCTCATTAACGTCGAGAATTTTAAACAAGAAATCCGGCGATTTTTGGTGAAAGCAAGGAGCGTGTTCTTTGCAATTTTTGTTTTCTTTGAACGGCAGCAGCGAGCTGGCTCAAAAACAGCTTTCTGTCAATAGTCCAGTTCGTGAGCACTAGTGCGAGTGGTTCTGGTTTCTGAAACTGTTTGAAAGGAAAGCTGGATGAGGTTTCATCCTCGATTGTTAATCCAAATGCAATTTGAAATCGAAATGGATTGGTAGGTTCGTTGAGAGACTGGTTTTCCAGTGACGGCTGAATCCTGAGATTTGACTGCGTTTAGCATTGCACTAAGTTTGCCATGTTCTTACAAAAAGGCATGAATTCTGATTTTCGTATATTCTAGAAATCAGTGGAACATCAATTGCAAATTTCGCGCATTTTGGAGAAAGTTGCAGAGCTTGTCAAAACTGCGGTGAATGCCAACGTTCAACGTGAAATAATGTCAGCGATGACTGGAATGGGTGTGTTCGGTTACAATAATAATAATGGCTACTGCAACAGAGACTACGAGAATGATGGTAATGTGCAGTAGCGATTAAGAATTTTCATTTCTGTTGATTCCGGTTTTCACCGCAGTATCTGTATTCAGGCGTTTGTTTCCTTTCCAATACTAGTCGGAATAAATTTTTTCTATATTGCAAATCAAATGATCAGGCGCTTACCACAGTGGATCTAATTTCGCAGATCAAAAAACATCTGTTTTTTCACTTTGCTAGAGAGACGGGTAGTTCGTAAATAGCCCGAGTGATAGCAAATGACAATAACTGCCATCTGCGGAAATGTTGTCTACTGTTCTCGGCATGCGCCGGTACTAGCTTAATAATGAAACCGGTGAATGAACTGTATGGAGAAAAGTTTTTACGAAAGCGGAATGGAACTTTCTGTTCTCTACAGGCGAACACTCGCAGACAGTCATCCGCTAACTATTTAAGTTCGGAGGGTTCCCTAGAAGCAGCTTAATCACATTTGAGTTCTTAAGAAATTTGCGTTTTTTCAACTGCCAATGCGTAAATTAATAACGAAATATTTTTTACGGCACTTCTTTGTTGTATAAATCGATTCTGCAGTGGTGTTCCCATCATTTATTTTTGTGACTTTTCCAAAAGTCTTTAATGAATTTTCGAAAGTATGCACATAATTGGGTTTGTACTTGTGCGAACCAGTTGTTTTCTATTTAAGCCTTAATCTGTTTCTTTAACATTGTAATAACGCTAGATTTTATACAACTTGTCGTTTTTCTTTTGTTTGTTGCTTCTGACACTATGTATTATCAGCGCTGGATGTATCAACAGTTTGATCATCCTGCTCATAATCCTGGTATTCCGGTTGGGGAATTCTTGTTGGAGCTAGGAATCACTTCTCGCTAATGATCATCGAGTGCAAATCTTTTGCTTATGGTGGCCACCTCTCTCAAAAATAGCAATTCTTTCAAAAAAATTGTTGTTGAATTGTCTTTGTTCTACTTTAGTTTCTTCAGAAATTCGACGGAATGCCGATTTAATGATTAATTTTCAGGCGTCCTCGAGTTCACTGAATTAGGACTTTTAAATTTGATGTCTTGTTGCATTTTAATTTGAGATGTTACGGCAGTCTTTCAACATTACAGGAGATCGGATTTAGCAGATTTCAACTTATCTCATCCTTTTCATTTCGGTGATATCACTTTGCTAAGAAAATCCGAAATAGATCGGAGGCTTTGTTCGAACCTTATATTGGCGGGAGTGTTATTCTGATTTTCCAGCCTATCTTATAATTGCATTCCGTATTCATAGTTCTTGCCTCGCTTAATTTCCAAGCTCATTCTGGAACATTTCTTGCCTCATCCTCAGATTGTTTTTGTTCTCTTCTAAATTTTCGCGCTTTTTATTTGTCTATAATCATTACACATGCTTCACATATTCGGTTGTGATTTTTGGATTTTTCTCCTTTCAGTTTCACCGGTTGTGAAAAACAGTCCTCGGTTCATGCACATTTGGTATATACTGGAAATCGGTATTTGTTATCTCTTTCTTCAATTTCACTTTTTCAAAATTGTATTGTTGTTGGAAAAAGTCTTGCAACATGGGTTTTTTTTTTAATGTACAGTATTCGTTTCCGGGAAAATAACCTTTTTTTTTGAAAAAACTATTGAATTTGCGCAGCACTTAGTTGGCTATCACAGCAAGGAACAGGACTGCTGAAAAT